AAAATTTTTTATGAGAATTCAATTTTGAGAAACATTGATTTATTCAATAATTTTTTCATTTCTGTATTTAAATAATTAAATTCTCGTAGAATTTTCTAATAAAAATTGTTTTAAAAATAAATTTCAGTTAAAATTTTAAATAATAACTGAATTTTCTAAATATTTAATTGAAAAATTTCTAAATAATCAAAAATTCGAAAAATTGAATTGTAAACAAATGGATTTAAAAATTCTCTAGAAAATTTTGCAAAAATTATTAAAAATAATTGATAATTGTTAAACTTTTGAAATTAATTAAATTTTTCGAAGAATTTACTCAAAATTGTATTAAAAATAATTGAAATCCTGTGAAGAATTTTATTATTTATGATAATAATTAAAGTCTTGCAACTAATTTTTATTACAATTCTTTTAAATAATTGAAATCCTGTGAAGAATATTATTATTATTTATGTAAATAATTAAATTCTTTTGAGAAATTTTATTAAAATAGATTTTGAAAATATTTGAATTTCAGCAAAAAAAAATTCATTTTTTGTGAAATGTAATTGAATTCTTGCAAAAAAATGTTTGAAAATAATTACATTTTTCGAGGAATTCATTTAAAATTATATTAAAAATAATTTAAATCCTAGGAAAAATTTTATTATTTATGATAATATTGATTTCTTAAAACGAATTTTATTTTTTTTTTTTAATAATTGAATGGATGTGAAAAATTTTATTACTTATAAAAATAATTGAATTCTTGCGAAGAATTTTATTAAAATTTTTGTAAATTTACATGTACATTTTTTTAAATAATTGAATTTATGTGAAAAATTGTATTACTAATAAAAATAATTGAATTCTTGCGAAGAATTTTATTAAAAATTTCATATATAAATAATAATAATATTCAAATAATAATTTCAAAAGGTTTAAATTTAAATTTTTTAAAAATCTTAATTCCTATGAAAAAATAATAATGATTAAATATTTATTTAAAATTGAAGTTATTGATGTTTTCGAATAATTTTACAATTAAAGAAATTCGTAGATAAATGTCACAGAATATTTTTTTGGGTATCATAATTTTTAGAGTAAATCAGAATATTTTTTAGGGTCAGGGAAAATGTCAAAATTTTGTCTGGGAATCAGGGAAAAGTCAGGGTAAAAAAATTAATTTTTTCTGGCATCCCTGAACTTAAGTACATAAAAATTTTTGTATGATATTAATTAATTAGAGTTTTCTGAAATTATTCGCAAATTTAGAGAGCAGTGAATTTGAAACTCGAATAATATTTGAAGTAAAATATAATAATGTTTGCGAATAAGAAACTGCGCGTGATTAAAAACAGTTTTCTTTCTAAAATCAAATTTATATTTAAATTTTTCAAACTGAGACTGCGAGGATATTTTTTTTTTTCTGATACGGCCTTGCATTCCAATGTTTCATGTCTTAGACGATTTATCTTTTTTTCAAAGATCTAGACACAATTTCGCTCACGTATAGAGCTTTGGAATCTCTTTAATCAATATTGTAACTTCCTGAGGAGAAGTCATTGCTTAGTCCATACAATCTGTCGCAATGAGTCATTACATCAAGTTAACGAAGTGAACGCTTCAATGCCCAGGCAATATTTTTCTTTTACACTTGACACTAATATTTTTCACACCTAGTTTTTTTTTCACCTCCTCTTTGATAGAAAACAGATTCTTCGCATTTATGGCACGCGTCGGAAATATGCAATTTTTGCCCCGAGGGAAATAATTTGCGAACTTTGCTTTTTTCTAGAAAATTCAAAATTGTAAAACACAAACAAAAAATGTAAATGAAAATAATCTATAAAATTTATTATAACTTTTTTATTTGACGTTCAGTAGTTTAGGATATTTTGTTTTAAAATAAAAATTGTTTTCGGGTGAAATTTTTCCAAAAATAAATTTGTATATTATTTTGAAAAGCAAAACGTGATAAACTTGAAAGTTTGAGATATTTTAGTATTTTCAATTATTGGTATTTGAAAATTAGTTCAAAGGAGAAAGAGACTGAGAGTGAGAGAGAAAGAGAGAAATAATCATAGAAAATTGACGAATAACTTGCGACACTCATTTCCTCAACAATAATTCTGGTTGTTGAAATGGTTCAACACCCACGAAACAGCTTTTAATTGGTCGATGTGGTTATTTCCAGGAAAGATATTTCTCTACAAAACGTTCTCTTCCCGGAAAACCATTCTTTACAATTGTCCTGCGCCACAGTTCATTGTTAAGCCGAAGAGAAAACTATTTTGTCATCTCTCGTACATATATATATCTGAATCCGAAAATCTTGAAAGAATCTTTAGAGGAAGTTTAGAAAAAAGAGAAGGGAACGTGTTATGTCCCTAAAGGTAGTAAAAAAAAAATTTTTTGGCTCAGAAAATATATGGTATTTATTGGCAAATTTTAGAAAGTTTACGAATTTTGGTGATTTATTGAGAGGAGGGCAAGAGAAGGGAAGGAGAAACAGGAAAAAGGGATCTTGAAATCGGATGTTTAGAGGAAAAAGGGAATTTTTTCCCCCCTGTGTTATAATAATAAAAATAATATGTGTTAACTCGTTTTGTATTTTGGTGAATAATTTTTTCTTTATGTTAATAAGGAAGGAAGAAGGGAATCGGAGTTTGAAAGTGATGAATATAAATGGGAAAATTTCATTTATGGAAAATTATACGAGGGAAAATTTTTTTCTTGTACCAACTTTCTTCCGATTTTGAATTTTCTTTAATGACTGAAAATTCTTTTTTCTGCACTTATTTATTTTTTGTAATTATTTTATTATAATAATTATTTAATTTCAAATAATTAATTTTAATTAATTCATTTCAATTAAGTACAGATTTGAAAGTATATTCTTTTTTTAAATTTTAGAATAGAAAAACGAATGTAAAAAAATTATTATTGTTAGATAAATGTTTACCTGAATCAAATACTTTTTTAATTAAAGTAAAAAAAAATTTTATTTGACTCAATAAAATGGTATTTAAAAATTATTCGATTTAACAACAATTTATCTGATTTCAATAAATAATTTTTTGGTTCAAGAAAATAATTATTCGGTTCAAGTAAATATTTGTTCGGTTAAAAAAAATTTATTTCGATCAAGTAAATATTTATTTGGTTTAAGGAAATATTCATTTAGGTAAAAAAATTTATTTAGTTCAAGTAAATAATTAGTCGGATCAAAGAAATGTTTATTTGGTTCAAGAAAATATTCATTTTGGTAAAAAAAATTATTCAGTTCAAGTAAATAATTATTCGGTTGAAATAAATATTCTTCTGGTCCAAAAAAAATACTCGGTTAAAAAAAAAATTAATTGATTTAGGTAAATATTTATTTAGCAATAGTCAAATAATGGATTGAGTCAAATAATTTTTATTCAGTCTAAAATAAATTTAAATGATAATATATAATAAAATTAAATAATGAAAAATTACAAAAAAAAAAGAAAAAGAAAATTGCGGAAAAAAGAAAGTGAAATTACATTATTTCTATAGTGTTTGTCGAATTTTTTTTCCTTCAAAAAACCTCTCGTGGAGATTCCCTCATTCCTCGGCGATGAGTTTCACTTGTCCGAGAGGTACTACCTGCATTGCCTGCATTCATAAAAATTAATTGTCAAGGATGCACGAACAGTACACCAGTTGCGTGAGACGCCAGGCGTCGGTCTAGGCCCAGTGGCGCCTTGTAAAGACCAATCTGAACATTACTTTCTCCCTCATTTTGTCAGAGAAACGGAAAACTTCGTATATTTATATTGAATTTTGAGAAGAAAATTGCAATTTTTCCCCCAGTCGATGCAATGCTAAAAAGTATTAATCATAATTATTTAGAAAAGGGGGAAAAAATATTAAATGATAATAATTTGACTGATTAGGAAAAATAAATAACGATTTGAATACAAATAATTTTTATTCTTTTTAAAAAAGTATTCTAATTAAAAAAAAATTCCAAGTGATTTTTGTATTTAAGGAAAAAAATTGATTTTTCGAATTAAAAACCGCCCAAAAAAATTCAACTGAATAATTTTTTAATACTTAAATAAATAAATAGCAAAAAAAAGTAATTAAATAGATTAACATTCTTATGTTTATTTATTTGTTATTATTTGGATAATGTTGATAGCAGAGACAAATTTTGATAGTAACTATTTGTGTAAAATTAAATATTGAATTCTTTAACTAATTTAATTAATTTATTATTTTTAATTTAATTTTTAAAAATAAAATTGAATTATTTAAAATTAATTAAATTAATTAAGCAATTAAAAAATGAAAGTAAAAGTAATCTATTGAAATATTTAAATAATTAAAAATAATTAAAAATTATTTGAAATTTAATTAATTACTTCCTTTATCAAAATATTAAATAAATTATTTAATTAAAAATTAAAATAATTTTTTTTCGAGTGTTTATGTTCTTGTCATGGATTATACTAAGAGTAGTTTCTATCTCATTAACAGTATGACAACATAACACCTAATCCCCGTATCTTTAACATCTTAAAATACTCGAAATTTTCGACAGGATGCTAGATTTTCTTCTGTGGCTTTAGATTAGTATTTAAGATCTTAACTAAACAGGAAGGAATTTGAAATCTTCCATTCTTTCAAAACATTGACACAAAAATTTTCTTTTGTGAAATTCTAAATATTTTTTGCCCATTGTTTTTTTCCCTTTATTCTTTTCTTCTGAAACTCTTCATTTAATTACTTTAATAATATTAACGAGTTATTTGATAACTGCTGTTTATTGAAAACTAAGGAAATTAATTAAAATTATTAATTAAACATAATTTATTATTTAATTAAAAATATTAATTTTTTTATTAAAACTAATTTTGATTTTTTAAAAACAGTAAATTAAGAAATAATATTTTTCACTTGGTAAATTGAGGCAAAAATGTTTATTAAATTTAAGATTGAAACTATTGTCATATAGGCGAGATTTATTAATTTCTCTTTTTTATTTTCAGTGGATTGAATTTCCAAGATTTAATGGCAAGACAAGGAGCCATTGATTCTCCACCAAAAACTCCCTTCATCTTGGGTTCCGAGTGCGCTGGAGAAATAGAGCAAGTTGGCGAAGGAGTTGAGAACTTCAAAGTAAGTTATTTAATTTAATATCGATTTTTCTCTGCGTCATAAATATAAATAACGTGACTGAAAGTTTCAATTAAACTTTTTTTCCACTCATTTTTTTTTTTTTTTTTTCTAAAAATAAGTATTTAAAAAAAATATTTTCGAACCAAAAGAGTGCATGGGGAAAATATTGTTTTACATGAAAAGAAAAAAAAATATTTTCACAATAAAGAAAGGGGTAAAATATTTTTATTTTTCGAAAATAAGAATATTTTAACCCTCTTTTTATGGCGAGAAGATATTTTTTCCTTTTTATGGAATGTAACATTATTTTCCACCCTTTTTGTTAGAAATTGTATTTTTTTATTTTTGGAGTTTTATTTTGGAAAAATAAAAATAATTTGATCTTTTTTTCATTGGGAAGACTAATTTTTTCTTTTTATGAAAAATAAAAATTATTTTCCACCCTTTTTGTTGAAAAGTAAATTTTTTTTATTAAGTGGAAACTTTTTATTTTTGGAAAATAAAATACATTTTCCAACAAAAGGGTGAAAAGTATTTTTATTTTCCATAAAAAGAAAGAATACAATTTTCCCAATAAAAAGAGGGATAAAATATTTATAATTTCCATCAAAAAAAAGAAAAATTGTCCCGTTTATAAATAAATAAATAAAAAATGTTTTCTACTAAAAAGAGGAATATTAATATTTTATTTTTTCAAAAATAAAAGACTTCCACCAATAAAAAAATTTATTCTCCAACAAACAGTTTGAAAAATATTTATATTTTTCATAAAAAGAGAAAATGTCTTCCCCTATAAGAAAAGGGTTACAATATTTTTATTCTTCCAAAATATAATTGAAAGTCCAATTAAATTCCAAAAATAAAATATTTCCGTTAATAAAAAAATACATTTTCCAACAAAAAGAGGGGAAAAAATGTTTTTCGATAAAGAGGAAATAATATTTTTATTATTTTTTAAAAATAAAAATATTTTCCACTCATCATTTTGTAGGAAAATATATTTTTTTGTGGAAATTTATTTTTGAAATACCTAGAAGGATATTATATTTTCTGAAAATAAAAAAAATAGTATTTAATGAAAGTAGAAAATTAATAATAATAAAAATAGAAAGTTAATAATAAAAAGAAAAAAAGAAAAGAAAAAAAAGAAAGAAAGAAAAGAAGCAAAGAAGGAAAGAAAGTTAATAATAAAAATAAAAAATTGATAATAAAAATATTATTTTCCAAAAATAGAAAATTTTCACCAAAAAGAAAAATATACTTTCAAACAAAAACTGGGGGAAAAATATTTTTATTTTCCATAAAAAAAGGCAAATTAAAACAGTTATTATTTTTTATTTTTCTTTAACAAATACTTGCGAGAGGAATTATTAAAATCCCATAATTCAACATTAACTGAGAAAATACTATAAATCTCTAAAAACAAGCCAACCTCGTTTACTCGGAAAACATGAGATTATTTTTAATCTTGAGAAACTTGGATGAAAAAACACACTTGGAAAGAGGTCCACAATACACCCGTGTGTTGTAAATCCAGTTTCTGGGTAGGATAATTTATTGTTTACTACTTTATTTTTTTTTGTTGCTTTTTTTTCATTACACACATAACAGATGCGGTTTAAAGTCAGCGGTTTTTGTAAGTGTATATAATATTATATGTGTTGTATGTTTAGGAAATGACTAATACTGGAAAAGTGAAGGCACAATGAAAGTGTGAGGGTCAAAGCCAAGGTTTTCGAGGTCAGATGTCGACCACGTGTAAACGACCTCACCTATTTTTGGGGGGGTTGAAATACTTATGGGGGTTAATTTAACGAGCTTTACGCGCAAGTTTAGATTACCAACGGAATTTATGACTCTCGTGATCCGGAAGTAAAATTTTATCCTCCTTTTAATGTGACCCTTCCTTTTTAGAAATTCATAAAGCATATTCAATAATGGAATAATAACACTGGGGGGTTTATTTATAAAGGGGGGAAAATTTCTTCTGTTTTAATTGTTGAAAAAATATTTTTTTACACGAAATATTTAATTAGTTGAAAATAAAATTTATTGAAGTTGTTTTAATTTTTTTTTCTATATGGGGAAAATTTAATAATTCGGGGTTTACGAATTAAATATTTTTCTGGTTGTATAGGAAATAAAATTTATTGAATTTTATTGAATTTATATTTCTTTCTATTTGGGAAAAATTTTACGATTTAAATATTTTTCTAGTTTTATAGAAAATAAATAGAATTTAATTTTTTTTTTCTATTTATGAAAAATTTAATAACTTGGGGTTTATTTGAAAAATAAATAATAATTTCCGTTTCTTCTTTCTTCCTTTTTCTATTTTAGTGTGGGAAAAAGGATTAAAAATTTTTCAAGTGAATTTAAATGAATCTGTGGTTTTTGATACTCTCGACATTATAATATTGACAATTTTTCACTACATGTTGTAAATTTTTTTATTTTAGGTCGGAGACAGAGTTGTCGCTTTGCCAGACCACAAAGCATGGGCCGAACTCGTTGCTGTACCGGCGACTTCCGTTTTTGCTTTACCAGCAGACATGAGCTATCTGGATGCAGCAGCTATCACCATGAACTACACGGTGGCTTATATTTTACTTTTTGAGCTGGCAAACCTCACGCCTGGCAAAAGTTTACTTCTTCATAGTGCTGGAGGCGGTGTCGTAAGTATTTTTTTTCTTTTTTCCTTTTCTTCTTTTCCCTTCACTTTCATTCCAAGAGAATTTCGAGGATGTCCGAAATCCTTCCGATTATCAAATCCACGGAATTCTGTCGAAAAAAAATTTTACCTCGTATATTAATTTTTTTAACTTTTATTTTAAAAAATTCCCTTTTTTATTCTGAGTTAAAAAAGAAATAAAAATCAAAACTTGACACAAATCTCAATATATTATATTTTTGATAGACAACATTTTTACGTTTTCTAAATAAAAAATATAAAATCGAGAGAAGAGTTCATCTCTTATGATTTAAAAATAAATGAAACTTCAAAAGGAAAAATAGTTGCAAGATAATAGAAGATACAGAAAAATAAGTTTGACATAAAAATTATTGTTTATTTTGCATTTTGTGGTCGAGTAGCACTATAGGGGAATTTTCAGCTTAGTGATATTAAAGCAAGGAACATTTGACCCTTCTTTGGACATCATAATTCTTATCCGAATAAAAGAGACCGGAGCTTAACTTTCCCTAAAAAAAAAGAAGTCCTTTATTGCTCTCTTTGAAAGAATTCTTCTCTGATTAAGGGAGCAATAAGAAAAGTTGAGGACAAGTTAAAAAATGGAGTTAGAATTAAGTTTCTTGATAAAAAAAAGAAAGAAAGAAAAAAAAACATTTCTCAATGAAAGTACTCCTTTCTTTGGGTTAATTAGGATCACGGTCCAATTATTTTTCTCTCAAATGACGCATTTCTCATTCTTTTCTTTCTCTATAATGTATTTATTAGTGGGGAGTATTTTTATTTTGAGTAATAAAAATTATTGGAAATGAACCATAATATGAAAATAAAAGATATTGATAATAGGAAATAATAGAAAGAAAAAATATAGGAAATAAAAATTAACAGAAATAAAAAAAATATAAAAATGTTCTACTATTATTTTTCATTTCTATTAATTTTTATTTTTAATCATTTTGGTTTCTATTATCTTTTATTTTCAATATTTTTTATTTTTCAATATCTTTTATTTTTCAATATTTTTAATTTTTTAATATTTTTTATTTCTATTATATGTTTCTTTTCAATATTTTTCTTTTCTATTATTTTCTATTTTCATTATTTTTTATTTAAAAAAATATTGAAAATAAAAATCAATTGAAATAAAAAATAATGAAAATAAAAAAAAATCAAAACAAAAATTTTTAAACAAATAAAAATTTTTTAAACAAAAATGATTGAAATTAAATAACAATAGAAATAAAAAGTAATAGAGGTAAATAATAATAAAATAAGAAAATAATAGTAAAAATTAGCAATAAAAATAATACTAATCAAAAAATAATTGAAAAAGAAATAGTAAAAAAATACTCATAATATTTCACTGCAACAATTTATCTTGGCATCAAATTGATCGTGCATTCACCTGTGATTTTCTACATATAAATACAGGTAAAATATGAAATTGTAAACGTACATGATGGGTCAAGGCGTTTCAGCATTGGAATGAGGCGTAACGTCTATTCATTTTTCTCTCTTTTTTTTTCTCCTCAACAAGAGTCGTTTCTCTCTTTTCATATCAGGTCGCAATCTCACGGAAATGCGCTGCCTCTTCTTCGACTAATTGCCGCCTCTTAAAACTGTAATATTTAAGAAAAAAAAAGAAGAGAAGTAGTCGTAGTAATACAAACAGCTTTAAATAGGGACTCAACTTCGAGAGGGGAAATTGAAGAAGGGATCAGGAATTCACGTAAACAATTCGATGGAATGCGGATATTATCGATTATTCAGTTAGCACTGCGTCTCTCAAACTTGAAGGGAGTTGTCATTTGGAAAATTTATAACAAAAATTTTTGTTTTAACTTCAATTAAAGTTTGCTATCTGAAAATAATAATCTCGATATTGAACAGAATAAAATTCTCAATACTGAAGAAAATAAAAAGTTCAGTACTCAACGTAATAAAAAGTTCAGTACTCAACGAAATAAAAATTTCAGTACTCGACGGAATAAAAATCTCAATACTCAACAAAATAAAAATTTCAGTACTCAACGAAATAAAAATTTCAGTACTCGACGAAATAAAAATCTCAATACTCAACAAAATAAAAATCTTAAATTATCAATAAAATTAAAATTTCAAAATCAAGCTCTCAATATTCAATAAAATAAAAATCTTAGTCTCAATAAAAATAAAAATCTCAAAATCAAGCTCTCAATACTCAACAAAATAAAAATCTTAAAGTCTCAATAAAATGAAAATCTCAATACTCGATAAAATAAAAATCTTAATAAAGTTCCAATAAAGTAAAAATCTCAATAAAGTCTGAATAGATTCAAAATCGCAATAAAATCTCAAGAAAAACTGAAAGTATAAATTTTTTCTTGAAATGATTTTATTTGTGAATTTTTGTATTTAGGGAGATATAACGAGAAGAATAATTGCCGAGTGATAAACTTGTTTTTTTGTTAAAGAGAAAAAAAGGGACGTTGCGCCTCATTATTAAATGAATATAGTAAATTATTTCTCAATTTATTTATTATTTAGAAAAATTTATTATTCAATTTTCTAATTTTTCAATTTAATATTTAATGAAAAACAAGAAAATTTTCGAAATTATCAGATTATTTTAGAATTTTATTTTAGAATAATAGAATATGAGAAATATGAAGTAATAAAATGGAAATGGGAAAACGAAATATTTTTTTTTGCGATAATTCTTTTTTCTTTAAACAGTTGTTGGTTTGAGGTTGAGGCAGTGTCCAGATGGAATGTAATTAATTATAGTTAACGTGCCACTAGGGCCCTTCTTTTATGATGACGACGACGACGACGACGAGCCATACGCTTCTTCTTCTTCTTCCTCTTCATCTTCTTCTCTTTGGGTCTTAGAATCCTGCGCGCATCTCTATATAAACGAAAGTTAAATTTCTGCCTTGGGTTCACAAAGAATCACTGATGGTACACATCTCCCTTTATCTCTCTCTTTCTCTCTTGCTCTTTCTTCGCTTCGAAACGCGACATACCATTATTAATTGTACATACGTTTGCCGCGAGAATTATCAGTAATGCTTGTAAACCAGTAACCACCCATTGCTGCAGGAATGTTAAATGAAGTACCGACAACCCGCAGTGAATTCTATTAATTAAGACTAATATAATATAATGAAAGTCGAAAGGACATTGCCAACGCAAGTGCATGAGTAAATGCTGTAAACGAATTTTTCTTCCACCACATCATTTTATTGAAATTAGAAAATTTATTTATTTTCACTCCTCACGTTTTTCTCTCTTTTTCAATGTCGAGAAATTCGAGAAGTTCAATAATTTCGTTAATTAATGGAGAGTTTATCGATTTTTGTTCATTTCATTTTTAATCAATTTTCATTTATTCGAATTTTACTCGTCTTTTCATTTTTCATTTCATTCTTTTTTCAATTAGTAGTAGTAATAGAAACGAAAATAGTATAAATAATAATAATAAAATATATAAAAATGATAAAAATTAAAATATAATAATAATAATAATAATAATAATAATAATAATAATAATAATAATAATAATAATAGAAGTAATAATAATAAATGTTAATTAGAAAAAATGTTGAAGTATTTTTCAATTTTCGAATGTGAATAAAAATTTACCTAAATCTCATTATTCGAGATAATAAGCTTGAATGCCATGTTGAAGATTAATTGGAATATCAGATAAAGATTTTTCTTAGACTTAATATTCAAAGCTTTCTTATCATACTTTAGTAATAATTTATAACCACAAGATCATTTCCAAGTACTCTATTATTATCTATTCGCGACAAATGTTTCTAATTAAAAAAATTTTTTTTACAAACAATGCGTAGTAAACAGATTGTAATAATTTTTTTTTATTCGAACAATCATCTCAACAGCGATTCCATTCATTATCATTAATTTAAAAATACTATTGTTATTATTATTACTACTATTTATCTATCTCATTGCTTTTTCTTCGAAACTACTTAATGGAATAAATTTTATTTTATATGAAATAGAATTTATTTTATTTTACGAAGCAATTATTCAAATATGAAATAAATTTATTTTTATGGCAAAATTTAATGAGACGAAATTTATTCTATTTTATGGAATATTGTTTTATTGGAGGAAAATTTTATTGGCCAAATTAATTTTATTGAATAAATTTATTTTTTTGGGCAAATTTTTTTTTTTGGAAAACATTTATTTTTTGAGGAAAATTAATTTTTTTGGGGAAAATTTATTTTATTGGACAGATTTATTTTCTTTTACTGAACAATATTTTGTTTTAGAAAATTTTTATTTTACGAAACAAATTTATTTTTCTAAACAGAATTATTTTATTTTACTGAACAATATTTTATTTATCATTTTATTGAACAGATTTTTTTTTTACTGAACAATATTTTCTTTTAGAAAATTTTTATTTTACGAAACAAATTTATTTTATTGAACAAATATTATTTTACTGACCGATATTTTATTTTATTGACTAAATTAATTTTATTCAATGAAACGAAACAATTTAACGATATTTTTGAGAAACTAAAATCTTTTCTTCTTTTCAGTTATGACATAGAATGAGAGCAAAAAAAAAAAAATGATTTCCGAGTAGTGAGGAGAAAAAAAATGAAATCTTGTTTATTTTAACAAATACGCGGATGTGGGATTCAACGTCGAATGAGAGAAGGTCCAGTATAGCAACGGGTTGAAAGTTTAATTCAGTCTGCGAATTTCACAGCGCGACTCATGTACGTGCTTTTCGTCCAAGAAAGTTCAGGATCAATACGACTCAACAGGTTACACCCGAAGCAGAAGCTGCAGCCGCCACCATCGCCAGCCACACTCTGTCCTTCGACCCCTTCTGCCTCCCCCCGCGACCCCCTCTGATTCTCTTGCCTCCTCTTCCGTTTCCCCTGGACCCGCTCTTTCTCTCTCTCTCTCTCTCTCGTGAACTCCATGAACAGAAGTTGAGAAGATGAAATCTATGGG